GCATGTACTTCATGTAACGGATAAGATAATCTCAGGTATAAGAAACAAAAGGGTGGTTGACGTGGACTTAACAAACTTTCATAATTGCATTCACACCGCATAAGTGTATTACTCTACTTGCTTTCATATAAAAAAGATTAATAAATCATTTATAAATATAATTTACAGCTTAAATTGCATATACAAAAAATAATTAATAGAATATTTAATTAGTTTTACTTTTTATTACAGTTAATATTTATAAATATTTCTCTTATAATAATTATTATTTGTATTGAGTTTTTTTTTGTAATTTGACTGTTGCAATAAATATAATTATTATTTTTGTAGAAATAATTACAGTTTTATAAAAAAATGATACGTTATTTCAAGCATATTCCATATGGCTCAAACAATAAGTTTAAAAAATGCTGATGAAAAGGATGTTAAATATATATTATATTGAGAAGATAATGAAATATTTATAATACCTTGTTAACAACAAAGGAATGATAACATAATTAAAGAAGTTCCTGTTAAAAATAAGTTAACAACCAAAGGTTTAAAAAGCGCTGAAATATGATTGAAATTGTTTCAGACGTTAAAAAGATACTGATTTACGAAGAAGTGTGATTTTTAAGTGATCAGTGTTAAATGCAAAACAATACTAGGTAAATAAAAGAAAAAAACACAATCAAATTTAGATTTTAATTTAAGTAAGGTAGTTGCATGTTTAATTTACGAAGAAGCATATCCATTCTGGCCTGAGTATTTTTACCTCTGAAAATGAAGTTTCGCTTATATTATAATATTATTTTAATAGTCTCACATAATTTAATTGTAAAATCATAATTAAATAAATTATATTTAACAAAAATTTATTATAATTTATCTTATTGTCTTTTTTATGCATTATATTCTTTAACACTGCGACATATTTTTTTTTTCAAATTTTGTTCTGCATTAATCCGTAATTACTACGGACAAATTAAAAAAACACAAGTATTACTATAGGTCAAAATGACCCTTTTATTAAATATTTAAATTATTAATTTTTACAGCAAACACATGAAGGGGTCACGGGTCACTTTTATCCGAAATATACTATTTATAGTACATCTCAACGCACCTGCTTTGCTCTTACTAACATCTGCAATAGAATATAATAGTACCTACGTACTGGTTAAGTTTATTATATAATTATAAACTAAAATCGTGTTTGCAATTTTATTCTAATAGAAAGAACACAAATATTTATTTATTTATTCATATTAAATTCATAAATAATGTAAACACAGCTAATTTGACAAAAGTTTATAATAATTCATTAAAAATTGGTTCCATTTATTATTCAGTAAAACCATTACAAAATCACGGTCATAAAGCTGTACGTAATATTTCCACACGTAATAATTATTTTTATTCGTTCTGCTGTTGCGTACACAAATTTGTATCGTAAATCATCTCGAAATCCGGAAAACGATAATTCAAATTTTATCCCCCTCCTCATGAATATGAACACATCGTGTCCCATTAATAATTAAAATCAGTCATTAAGAAGAGTATTCCGAATAAATGAAGATTGAAACCTTCTGCTGTTTGCCTTTTATTTGTAAAAGCTCAAATAGAATTTTTCACGTTGTTCCGCATTTTTTTTCCCTATTTATCATGGTGATTAGAATTATGGTGATAACTACACATTCAACATTCATTACGTAATCAATTATAAATAAAGCAATATATCGTAGAGTGTGGGTAACCAGTTTTGACAATATCCTGCACTATTTGAAACCGCACTAATCGAGGACATGAAAATTTAAAAAAAAAAACAAAATCAGTAGTGATCTTAGCAGCACTATGTAATTCTTTATTATCAATTTCGTTTATGTGAAGATCACATATATGTTTTAGAAATATGTTATATCTTTATAGCTTAGGTTAGTTATTTAATCTGCAAACTAATTCTGCTTAGATATTAGTCTTTACAATTATCGTTAACTATTTCTTAATTTATCTTCAGTGACATGATTTGAAAGAGTATAATATATTTATAGAGTTCTACTTAAGATAAGAAAATTTTAAAACCTCTGAAAATATTTATCAAAATATTTGAATGATCAAACGCGAGAGTGAACATTTAGAAAGAGACATAAATGTCTGATGGAAGTAGGATTTTTCAACGAGCTTCAAAAACCAAAGCGAAGCAATGTAAACGTATAAAAGTACGTAGCTAGCAATTCACGTCACACAGAGACAGCGAGAGTAAAAAATAAATAGAAAAATAAATTTGTAAAAAAAACTGCGGCCAGGATATTTTTAATTAAATCCTGGCGCTGTTTGTATACGAGCTTAGCAAACAAACGAAAATATATATATTACAAAAAAAATAATGAACGGACTTAAACGAAAATATTTACAAGCGTAGATCTTTCGTTGGAAATGTTTTGCGCATTTCCGCGCTGCACTTTATTTATTTATTTTTTTTCTCGCGCACCAAATGGATGCATAAATATAATTAAAAATGGGTATTGTTTTGGAAGGAATAACATGCATTTTCTCGCACTCATTATGGTGCAGCTGCTGTGCTGTTTCGTTTGCCTTTTCATTGAAACCCAGAACATCCCTGTTACGATAATTAAAAAATATGTAATTGTAATATGAAAAAGGAGATACCTTTTTTTGGTATTTATATTGTGCTTTGCTGCTATAGAACACTTCAATTTAATTAAATTAATTACTTTAATTTGCTTACACACAATGATGATAGTAGTATAATTATCTGTAATTGTTAGAAGTGGTTTCTTTTAACTAGTCGACAATTGATTCAATATTAGTTTAGTGGATTATCGGTTAACGATCAGTTTGAACTGTGAACAAATTTTGTAACAAACACTTTCGCGAAACAATTGTATGTTTGGACAATAACCTCATATTCTCATAACGAAAATCATTCAGCTACAGTAACATCAATTACCTCTCCTGACGGTTTTTCCTTAATAGATAACTCTCGGTGATTTAAAAAAGTTCAATATTTGTATATTTTTATGATGAAGAGAATGTTCTATGGACTTAAAAAGGTAAAGACTAAAATAGTCTGAGGGTGTAAAATCAGGTGTATATGGTGGATAATGCTCTCTTATTTTGTCCAACGTAATCCTTGCTATGTGTGGTTTTGCTACATATATTTTTTTGATTATTTACTATAATTGTTGTTTTTTTAGTTTAATTTTACTAATTGGACATAATACATCTCTATTGTAACAGTCAGACTAGGTTTTACTAATTCACAATGAATTATTTCCATAAAAAGTTATTAAACAAATGGGTGAATCCCCTTAAGACGAAGGGAGAAAACAAAGATTCCTCATTTGATAAAGCTGACTTTTTTTCTGGGATTGCTGTAACAATTCTTCTAATAAACTGACCGGTATAATATCTGAACAATAGAGATAAACAGTTGATTTCTGCAAATTCATGCGGCTCCCAATTTTCTTCTTTTTTTTAACAAGACTATTCCTTTCATTGTTGATTGTGGTCCATGGTCTTGCGACAATTCCATGATTGTTTTAAGCAGATCAGACTCCATCAATGCGTTTAAAGTGTCATTATCGATCTTAAGAAATCTTCCTATATTTGATTTGTCCTTGAACTCACTATCATCATTTTAGATCTTTCGGAACCACTTTCAAGGATTGAAAATGTCTCCATAAATTTCGCAAATGGTCTGGGTATGTTCATTTTATTTAATTACTTTATCAAGTGAAAATAGCATAAACCAATCTCTTCAATCTCTGACCTGTGTATTTACTAATATGTTAACTCAAAGACAACAGGTGACAAAATGGTTTCAAATTATCGTAACAATAAAAAGTGACATTTCTTTTCGCTTTACCTTATATAAATAACTATAGTGTAATGTTATTTTCAGAACTCTATGTATGTAATACTGAAACCAGTATGGACATATGGTATCCAATTGTGGAGTGCGGCCAGTAAATCAAACATACAAATTATACAAAAGTTCCAATCAAAATGCCAAAAAAATATTATTAGGGCTCCATGGTTCATCAGAAATAAACAAATACACAAAGATCTTCATATAGATATGGTCGAGGATACAATAGCAACATTTAGTAGTAGATACCAAGATAGACTGAAGTCACTTACTAATGTTCTGGCTATTGGCCTACTCGACAACAGTGAAACCACAAACAGGCTGAAGAGTTGCAAACCACTAGATTTAATGTTCAAATCATCATGATGGTAACTATCCACCGGGAAAGATTACCTACCTAATGTCAACCATGATCTTAAGTTCTTCAATATTACATTGATACTACTACTACATATATATACATTGATGAACAGATTATGAATAAAATTATACGACATAAAAAAATGTATGTATAGAAGTACTAGTTCTGCTCGTTTTTTCAAAATGCTTAATACTAGTTAAACATATCTAATCATGTTGTGTTCATTATATAAACCATTTAACTTTTAAAAGCTACTGAAGTATGAAGAAATTAAGGTAAGATAATATTTAAAAAATTTATTACGTTTTATTACGTTACTTTATTAATGTATATATGATTTATTAAGTTTTATTGAGTTTAAAATCAAATAAAATATGGACATATGCATATCAAATATTCTAAAACCACAAAAAATTTCTGATTTTTTAACATGATTTACAAATTATTTCTCAGATTTACGTTAAATATAAAGGATGAAGGTTATCTAAATAGAGAAATTTTTTAAAAGTAATTATCGCTAAAATAATTTTAAAAGAACAACTATTGGCTTTAGTTCCTTAAAAAAACTCAAAATTGGAGACAATTTTTATTCCCACAAAATATTATAATTAGTGATAAATTTAAACTAAATAAGTTTTAATGAAGATATTTTTGTAAAATATGATTTGAAATAAAATATTTGGTATTTATATCATTTTCGATTGATGAAAGTCATTTATGTAATGATTGGTAGTTAACAAAAAAGTATAAGAAAGATTAACTTACATCGACGTGTAATCCAGGTAATGGGAACACTCTAGTTGGAGGTGCTTCTTTGGGAACATATCTGTAGAACTCATCCGAGTTCCTGTACCATTTAACGGAATAGAGTGGAGCTTCCTCCAGATCATAATCGCACTGCAACGTTACGGAATGGCCAACCCTGACCGCACGAGGCACGGTCAGTCTTAAATTCGACAAACTTCGACTGCAGTATATTCCTGAAAATAAAAACAATCCTTATTAGAAAAACAATTTTTCTAGAGTTCTCATAATAATACAGTTAAGAAAACACTTTATAATTTGGCTTTATTAGTGTAATTACTATATGTTTTTAATTAAAATTTCTAATTACTATTATTATACATCATATATACCAAATCAAATAAAACAAATATTTTTGATTAATTTAATACAAATTTATATAAATAAAAAATACACCAATATTCCGGACTGTTTGAATACGATGACCTTAAAACCACACTTAAAAAATTGTACGTCAAAATGGTATTTTAAAAATTTCAACAATATCCAATTTGAAAATCGTAACACCCATAAATACAAATATTGAACTTTTTCCCTTCAATTAAACATATTATTTTTTCGTTTTCACGTATATATTCAATAAATAAATCGGAAATATTGCAATTTCCAATCGACATTTGAAATAAATTTCACGAATCTCTCTCGCTGCATGATCGAACCATTCAACCTACATACATACATATGAAGGCCATAATTACATGCCACAAATTATTTTATTTTAATTCGGTGATGGGGAGGAAACTGATTGGGGGCTTTGCAATCAGCCACATTACATGAATGCAATTGTAAGTGCATTCATCGGTGCGAAAATACACTGATTCACTACCATCCAGAAACGAATTTGAATACATTTTTTTTAAATGATTTACAAACACAAATTCACAATAATTACTAGTAAACTTTTCGACAATATTTTTGTATATTCCATTATTGATGCTCTAAAAAACCAAATATATTTGATTACAATTCAGTTCTAGATAGACTTTATATCAATTTTGATAGTGTATTTTAATGCTAATATTTAGAAGTTGATTAAAAAAGTAACATAATTTTTATTTCATCTGGTATATGCAGTAGAATGATCTTCAATCAGATACAATTAAGTAAAATTTATCAGTTTATAATGATATTTCTATGTAATTTTATGGTTATTATAATACCTTTTGTTTAAAATAATAATATTTATTGCAACAGTAAAGAAAACCAAAATTTAAAAAAATCACAAATAGCAATAAAACAAAAAAGATTAACTGCTTGAAATATTTATTGACCATAGGTCTTTCTTATTTATTTATTTTCTTATATTTTACACGGGCGACTAATAGGTTTGAATCCTGGTTTGACCAGGCCGTTTGTGAACCCTCTCAGTGGATGCAGCAATAGGGCCATCGTTCATCATGAATGGACAGTCAAATAAAAGAAGTTCAGCATATGGATTTTCAGCCAAGTCGATGGTCAATGAAAGTGTTAAGGACAGCAGCAGATTCACGTGGAAGGAAATAGTGGAATCGCAGAGCATCAATATACTGAATTTAACATACAAGGCGGCAGCCAACCAATAAATTACAGAACAATATAATGGTAAAAACTTTGATTGGGTAAGATTGTAAATTAAATATACTATGACATAATAAAAAAAATATTTCGCACTGCTTCAAATCGGACTGATCGAAGACATTAAAACCGATAATTAATCTTTCCCGGTCATTGAATGAAAAAAAAAAATATTCCGCACATTTTTTTTTAACAAAATATTCAAATCAAACTATAGAGAATCCGCACTATTTGAGGTAATTTAATACACGAATTTATGTTATTCATATATACGTTTGAACTAAAAAAAAATCAAAATATATACATTTTCAAGTAAAGTAGTAGCGAATTTATACAGTTTTTTATTAATATTCGAGATAATGAGATGAATTGGTTTTGTATAGAAGCGAAAGGAGTAAGTTATACGTATGCACTGAGAAAGATGAATAAAAGCTTTGTGGTTAGTTCACTTTATGATATACTCTAAAGAACGGCCGCACAAAGGATGATAAATGTATGCTAAATAATAATGGATAAGAAATTCTCCGGTCGGTTGCATTTTAAGATTTTAGTAAAAAAAATGCATTTATTATTGTTAAAAATATTAGTTTGAATTACATGCATTATTAAATATTATAATAATAATTATTTATTTAGATATTTTTATTGACGCCTATTTGGACCAAAGCCCTAAAGACCAGAGATAAAATAATAATTATATTTGTATTTACATATTTGTTTTATATGTATACAAATAATAATATTGAATTTTATTTAAAATAAACAAACATACAATTATTGGATAAAATATAGAAATAATAATATTCAAAAAAAATAAATAGAAAATTATATTAAACACTATATATCAAGCGGTGGCCAACGCGTCAATCACAAATATTTTTGTAAGTATAAATAACACAAATAGAATGAAACATAATGCTATATCTAAGACAGTTCAATCCAGTATTGTAATGTGGGGCCCACGCCTCTAAGGCAATATGGGCTAAAAAAGGTTGGAAAATACTGGTTTAATTTGTAAATGCTGTTCAAAAGTTAGCCTTGTTTACTATTCTATTTACTTGTTCTGTTGTGCCGTGTTTGTAACCAAAACCAAACTGATGGCCTGGTATCAGTTTATTTATCAAATACTTTTGTTAATATCTGTAAGAGGCTTATGGGTCTGTATGATTTGATTTCTTAGGTATTATTATAATTTGTGGAACTTTTCATTGCTCTGAAAAGTAGTCCGTAAATAATATAAAACACCTCACTTAATAAGTTCGTAGGATGACATATAGAAGTACCAATTTTCAGATGACGGCTGTCAAAATTTCATGTTTAGTTCAAAAAGTCCACAAAATGGTTTTGACTGATAGTAAATGAATTTGTGTGAAATTACTGACACCCTGAAGATATTTTAAAGCAGTGTATTCTCCATTTTGCATGAACATTTGATCATGAGAAAGTTCTGTTCGAAATGGGTACCGCGTTTGTTCACAGTGAAAGAAGAAATTACGAATAAACGGCTGCAAATAAAAAAGAAAAAAGTGCTCTTTCGCCAAGACAATGCATCGTGACTCTGGTCGATTAAAACGATGGTAAAAATGCACGAATTTCATTTTGAATTGCTTCCCCATTCAGCGTATTCTCAAGATCTGGCTCCCAGCTACTGCTATCTGTTTTCAGACCTAAAAAGAATTCTCAATGGAAAGAGATTTGGCAGCAATGAAGAAGTGATTGCCGAAACTGAAGCGTATTTTGAGGCTTAAATTATAAAAAATTTAAAATAAACGTCATTTTATGTGTAAACTACAAAATAGATAAACTTTGTATGTATTATTATCATGTGAAAAAGTACATTAATTCTACAATGTTTAATCTATTTCAATTTTTTTAAAGATATTTATACAGTTTTAATATACATAGTATTTGAGTTGTGAATGCTCTTTTTTACTGAAAATCAGATCGCAGTTGTATCCAAAGATGTTGGTGGAAAGTGGAAATCTACTCTGAGAATAAAAAAGGTCTCCGGGGAAATTTTCGTTTAATTTAACGTAGGCTCAAGAGCCAACAAAAAATTGTTTTAAAAAATATGAATGCCTTTCAAATAGGTATTTTTTTTTTCATATGAATAGATTTTTAAATGTGTTGCTTATTTTGCCTGTAGAAAAAAGTCGACTAAGTAGTTACAAAAACAAAAATAGAATTTAGTTGTATTATTGCATTCCAAATTTTACTTTGTTTTAATATTATATTTCCCTATTTAATCAGTAATTTGCATGTGATTATTGTAGAATGGATATAACAGTTTTTCTATAACGAAACCAATAAATAAACAAATGAAATTTAGAAAAAAATAGAAATTTTCTCCAATCTAAACATTATTATTAATTTAGTTGGTAAGATCAAAAATTATTGTTTGTCTTATAAAAGTAAACATAATTATAAATTTTATATTTGAATCAATTGAAAACCTCTTTCTTATAAATTGTAAATCAGCTTCAATCTAACAGTATAAGCAAATTATAAGAAAATAGAATTAAGACTTTTTCTGTAGAGTCTATGTTTTTCTCTTGTACAGTCAATTCTCATTATGTGCAGTTTATTTTTATGCAATTTTAAAGTCCTCGATTAGTTCAGCATATTGGCAGAGCGTATTATGATGTACATATAAATCAAAAAAGTTACAAATTTTTTGTCATCTTCAATAAAATTTACTTAATGTTTAATCTATTAAAATATCGTGTAAATAACATGATCAAAATGTATATTATTGGTTACATCATATTTACGTTTGTTCTGTTTATTAGTATTTCTTATTTGATTAAACCAATGATGAATATCTTTGGCGTTGGTAAATCCTGCAAGGATAATCCTAGAGGATCCTACAGCCTTGCGGATGGCGCCCGCGGCTCCTTCTCCAATCGGATTACACCGGTTGTTGCAACGGGGAGCGTCGGCAAGGAAAAGGGCGAAGGCTTTCTTTACATATTGATACTTCCTTTTGACGTGCTCGCAGATTTACGGATCCAATAATGTTTTATTCGCCCGCGAGAGATCATTAGCGGCGAAAATGGATTTTATTTCTTCTATTTTTTTGTTCTCCCTTTCTCAGGCGTCCCGACGCTCCCTGTACCAGCGCCTTTTATCTGCTCTCCCTTTCTCCACCACCTCATCACCATCTCAATTCTCCTCTTCCTCTTTTCTCTACTTCTTCCTTTTTTTACTCCGTGCTCCGTGATGAACGAAAGCTCAACGAAAATGAATCCGTGAACGGGATATTAATAACATCGGAATAATGTAAAAATATTTAAATCTGCTCGGATTTAACTGTAACTATGAAGAAGGGCGCACGGGTAGCGCTCGCCGTCTGCATTTTAATTCCCTTTGGATCTCCGGGAAAAATTATCGGAAATCCCTTTCGATTCTTATCGATTTAATTTATATTCATTTGTACTGTTACATATTCGATACTCATGCTTTATAAGTTTGACATGCACCAATTTCATCAAATACAGAACTCACAATTGGTAAGAAAATATACAGTTATACCTCGATTAACGAATAGGATGCATTTTACTAAATTTTTGGGTTGTCCTGAAAGTTGTCAGAATTGTGAAAAACAATGAACTTGTGTATATATTCTAAAAAGTAAGATTTCAACTGTCCTTAAAAAAAAGTTTGGTTTGAATCAAATGAAAATGACACATTTTGTACCCTCATGAAGATGGAATAAAACAAAGTGCATTTTAGACTTTAATACTTTGTTATTACTGTAAAGCCAAAAATG